GGACATGTGCTATTAATTCAATAATAACTTTTGATAGAAAAGAGCTAGAGAGCTCCGATCTTCGCCATTCAAAAGAGAAGACTTGAAAACATGTTTTCATAATCAACACTGTTTTCAGAAGAGTTTTCTGAAACAGGTTTTCTAGGAGATCTTTAGACAACTAGGTCGTCCGTAAGAATTTTCCAATATCATTATATCGCTTCTTTTCATGGACTGATAGATCGGAGTGTTCTCTTCAAAATAGAAGTGAAGTGAGACCTTGATTTTCCGCGGTTCGGGCGTTGTATCGGATTTCCAACTATTCACAGGACTGGCCCCCGGTGACTATTGTTAGACTTGAGGACGGATGGAATATGGGTAATCGACGTTGCTGAGTCTCATGGCAATACTTGTCTGTAGAAAAAATTTTAAAAATCTACCGAAAACCCAGTTTTACGAAAATTATTGTTTTCAGGCTGTTTTCATCTAACATTAAAAAATTCACTCTTCACTCAAGAAACATCAGAACGAGTTCAGAATTTCAGAACGTAGAGTATTTAAGCTATTCTATACACTGTTTATAGGAGATCTCAAAAGAAACGTTACAAAACCCTAAGGTTTCCCGAAAGGGTTTCTGGAAAACTCAATAATAAAAATATGCTTTTTCTGATTTTTCGATCGTATAATCAAATTTAGCGGAGGAAATGACGTTTATTGAATGATTAGTGAACTTTTTAATATTATGTGAAAACAGCCTGACAACGCAAGTTTTCGTAAAGCTCGCTTTTCGGTAGATTTTTAGAACTTTTTCTAAAAATAAATATTGCCAGGAGGCTCAGCATGCTTGATTGCCTATAGTCCATCCGTTTTCAAAGTTACCGATAATCACCGAGTACCAGTCCGGGAACTCCCAAGGCCATGATTTTTTGGAAAACCGCCAGCACAATCCAGAATCACGGATGTTAATTGGCGCTATGTTCAATGGTGGAGGACACATAGAGGAATATTTGGCGAAAGGTTGAGCTCGATTGGACTTTAGCTACTTGTAGCGTTTACAAAACGCGGAATGGTGAATTTTCCGAAACATTTTTAGTGTAGAAAATTTAAAAAAATTTTCCGGAAAAACCAATGTACCAAAACCCATAGAGAAAACTACAAGTATGTTTACCACATTCTTATTTTTGTTCTCTATTCAGAGGCGGTGGGACCATAGACTGGGTAAAGCTTAAGCCTTACCAGAATTTTGCTCTGTTAGGCTGACCCTTTATCCCGTTTTGATGTAGAATTTTGAATTTAGTACTCTGTTGTTTGTATAAAACTTTGCCACATTGGCAGAAAAGCCTTACTTATCTGTGGAAAAAACGATAAGAGTTTCGATGCGCGAACAAAACTCGGTTTTTTCTTAGTGATCTTAAACACAGAGACTAACATATGGTATGTGCGGTATGGAAAGAGGGCTGGATTGGGATAAGATGCTAACTTTTGGCATCAGGAACGCCAAGAAACCTCGAAATGTAGATTGTCTCTTGTTTAAAATAGCGAAATAGTCCTTTAATTATATAGTTAACTAGATAATAGGAACGTTCCGCCGTCTGTGTTCTCTGTCTATTTCTTTCATGAATTTTCTTTACTCTCAGTCAAAAATTTTTATATATGTTGATACAGTAGTGTAGTTGTACATTTAAAAATTCTAATTGTACATTTCTCTTGAAAATGGCTCTAAGAAAAGACTAAAACGTAGAGTGTATTATTTTAAAAAAAAATAGTTAAGTTTATTCTTCAATTATGGCTACCACGTATAAATTTAAAGCTCTAAGATAAGCTGTGAAGCTGAAACTACCTTTAGCCTTTTTAGTTTTTTTTAAAAGTCTAATTAGACTTTTGACCTTTGCATGTATGTTTTGGCACAGAAAGACGTTATGGTGAGGATAGCCTATGTTTTTCATTAACAAGAATATTTCGACTATTTAGGAGTGTATGTGCTATGAGCAATATCATGTTTTCATATCTGTATGCCTTCATTCTGCTCCATTTTTATGGCAGGAACACTTTCTTGTTTAACATAAAAAATATTTATTTAATTTTTGCTTACATTTTTGGTCAAGAATATTTATTTCATCAATTGTAGAAAACATTTATAATCTGGTGGACGATCGTGAAATACTAACGGATTTATCTGATCATGACGTTGACGGTCCCCAGCTCTTTCACCAGTAGCTAGGACGTTTTCTTTTATGGTCATGGTGACGCACGAGACCTTGATATTTTGTTAAAAATGGTGAAATTTATTCAAAACCAAATTTTAGCATCATTCCTATATGTTAGATGCATGTGAAGTTAGCAGCACATTTTAGAAATTTAGTCTGACGGATTTTTTTGACGATGTGTACAATAAAAACGGATATCACAATATTCAACATCAAATTCTACCCATCGCACACTCAATCAAACTATTTCAAAGCCTAATTCCATTACGAGAAATTAATTGACTTTTTTAGGTTTAGATTGCCCCATGAAACTCTCCATATAGATTTTATACAGAAATGCACGATGCATCTCTTTTAAAAAACGAATATCAAAAGCAAGTGAGCGGAGGTATAAGCAAAATTCAAAGTGATGGATTTGTTCTGTCTTACACTGTAAAAAATAAAGTGTGCCCGACGCACATTGAATGGGCACATCACGTTGGACTGTTTTTGCCAAGAGGGGAACAGTTGAATTTAGTCCGTTGAATTCAATTAAATTCAAAATTTAGCTGAATTAACTCAAATTCATGTAAATTCATCCAGATTCATGCACACTTATCCAAAACCTCAGCGTAAATTCCTAAAATTCAAAGAAACTTTACTTAAATTGAACGAGAGTCAGAGAGAGAGAGATGCTAGTTAATCTCCGGAAACAACCATGATAACGGTGTGGGTGTTAAACAGCCAGTACTGTGAAGAACATTCGTCTAGCAGCGTTTAGATTTCTCTTTTCTTCCTAATATCGATGCCAAAATTCAAGGCACTCGGTTGTCTTCCGAATAACTCCAAAACGATAAAAGATAGAGACTTGTGATTTTCAACAATCGAAAGAAGACAGTTTAGCCTGGATCTCCGGAAACTGAGATAGAAAACTATCAGTTTGCTTTTATGAATAGATAGTCCAAAGTGTCTTCTCCAAAATGGGAACTAAGCTAACTCTTAATTTTTCCTAGTTCGCGTGTGGCATCGGATTTCCTGAGAGTCTCAGGATCAGTATGTCTTTAGGTGTGGTAATTCCGAAAGTAAATGCAAACATAGATAACCGACCACGCTGAATCTCGTGGCAATATTTTTTTTCAAAACAGTTTCAAAAATGGTATTCTGGCATAATGAATTTTAATATTATTCAACAATAGGCAAAATGGGTTATTTTCCTTAATATAGGTTTTCACCAGTTTTTACAAACTGTTTCGAAAAACAAATATTGCCGTGAGATCCAGTGTGGTAGATCACCTATGTTTGCATTTATTTTGCAAATTACCACAATCAAAATTCAGCTAAATTCAGTTAAATTTAAGTAAATTCAAAAACGTATCAATTCAGCTCTTGATTTTTGCATACTGAAAACGGCTTGTTCTGTGTGCCTGTAATACATGGCAATTGCACTACACATATAGCTTCCACAGACAGAACGAGAAAAAAGACCGAAGAGAAGAATAATTCTTTCGTTTTTTTTCCATAGAGAAACGCAAGATAAAAATTCAGATTACACCATGGCAACTTGCACATCCTTTTGGAGTCGAAATGCACACTTGGGGCACACTTTATTTTTTACAGTGTACTCATTAGACATAGTTCAAGTGGCAGGGGTTCCACTAGAAGGGCACCATCAGTCAGCGCTTGCACATAGACGAAGAATGACTGACACAGAGTGGAATAAGGAGGCAATCTTCAACGTGCATCGAATTTTTTGATCTTTTGACATTACAATGAAATTCTTGAACTGAAACTTTTTTGTCAAATCTCTTGACAAAGCAACAGAGCACAATTAATGTTACTATTGTTATGACAGTTTTGTGTCTATATAGTACTTGTTATTCACTAAAAATAAGCAAATGTGGAACGCAATTGAAGAATAGATGATGTACTGTGTGTGTGACCGCGACAAGCTGAACCGACAACCGGACATGGCGGTCGTGTTAACTTGTGGATTTGTCCTAGTCATCATAGTTGCCGTAGTCGTCGTGTCGTTTACACTAAAAAATATATCGAAATCAAATGCTATTTTGTATCTTTGTTGTATTTGTCGTATATTTTCTAATGAATTACAATAATTACTTGTATTACAAAGATACTCTAATTGTTGTAAGTAACTGATGCGTTTATCTAATAAATGTATTCTTTCATCAATATATAAAAAGCGTTCTTTCGTTTCTGTTTCACAATATGAACACATTCTCTCAGTCTTTAAATCTATTGGATCAATTTGGATTGATGTTACGCAATATGTTGTACAATTCTCATCAGCACGTAATGACTGACGAATATGAAATGATGGACTACATTCATCGACATTTGTAAAATTTGAATATGTTGAACAGAAAAGAGTTGCTGTTGGCGATAATGATTGATCAGTTGCGAATAATAAATGGCGCGGTTTGTATGTTTCAATTGTTGATGCTTGAAGTATTCGCTTTACTATCATTTGTGGATTATTACAATTATCGGTCATACATTGATAAAGAATACCGAATGATATATTATCATCAAATCTTTTAGGTACGTCAAATCCAGTTGAAATATAAGAAACATTTGCACGTTCTACACCTGCGTTTGGGTTTGCTCGTAGTTTGCTTGTGTTTCCATTATCATCCGAGTAAATATTTAATGAGCAAAACCTTTGCGTTGTTGTAACTGATGTACAATTGGTAAATGTTGGAATATTATCAGGTGTTAGCAGAAAATTATAATGCCTTAGTGGACAATTATAACAAGCTAACATTGAAATTGGGCTTATTGTTGTCGTCAACAACAGAACAAAAGCATATAGTACAGTTATCATCATCTATTTTGTCTTTCTAAAACAGCAAAAAAAGAAGCACATTAGCTCATTTTCCTGGCACAGTATTTCACAAAAGGAGAGACACTTCTGCATATCTAACTATCTTCTTCAGTTTTATCGAAATTATCTTAGCAAAAGTTATATCATAAATAGAAGAGAATCAGGAGAAAAGTGTTCATTTTTCGTATGTCAGACCTATAATTATTCTACTACGAAAAAACGAATCCCTTCTATTTCATAATCATCCGCTCAAAGAAGCTTAAAGTTGTTGGGCCATCTACATTCAGTGAGACACATCATCATACAGAATTAGACGCCATTGGCTTACCATGGTAAGCCTTTCGATGCAAAGTCTACGAGACCGCTGTTTCGGGACCGTGTGATGGATTTTGATTTTCAAACAGTGCAATTGATAACCCGAACCGAGATCTACAATGCTAGACCAGTCTTAACTCTCTATCTCTCACAATCTGCCCAACCGCCTGTCCTTTTTAAAACGGTAATAGATGGCGTCTTAAAATTTTTGTCGAAGGTGTACGATTATACAGTTAACATTCTCTGAAAGATTCGCTTCTATTAAAATCAGGGCTACCGGCATACGTTTCTGTCAAGAGAAGCCTTAAAAGCTATTTACATATCTTTTGAAGACTTTTTTGAGAATATGGATATTAAAAGCTTTAACCTTATCATTTCCGATAATATTTGCACCAATTTTTAATCATCAGGAAACTGGGTACTTCTCTTGAAGCTGTTTGTACTGTTAACGCAAATTTTAGGAATGTATGGCTTTTCTTACATGAATAGCTAGACCAAAGTATTATTCTCTCTGACTGGGAGTAGAGCAAGAGCTTGGCTGCTAAGAACGATGCCGGATATCGGATTTTCTGAGACCATCAGAAACAGTATCCGGTAGAGTGCAGTGACCTTAATCATGAATCTATAGTATAGATAAACGATATCGTTGGATTCCGTGGCACCACTTATTCTCTAAAAAGCTTAATGACAACGCAGTTTTATGAAAAATAACCATTTTAGGCTATTTCCATCAAATGGTAAAGAGTTCGTAACTCACGCAGAGTCGGTCAGAATAGTCTCAATATTTAAGGATATACTTAGCTGATAGTGTTCTGTTTTACATTTTGTGTTAACAGCACAAACAACTGCAAGAAAACTTTCCGGTTTTTCATAGAATCTTAAGGAAAAACATTTCCTTAGTTTTGTTGACACTAGACCTTATTAGAAAGCACGTTTATCCTTAAATTTTGAGGCCATTCTGATCGGTTGAGTGATTTCTGAAGTTCCTTTATTATAAGTAATAGGTACAAACATTATTACTTGTTACCAGCCACAAAGTAAAAAGGATTTGTGACTTTATTACTAGAAACAAGTAACAAAGTAACATGTTCTTACTATGTTACCGCTAACAACTAACAAACTACTTTTGTTAGTTTACCAGGTAGAATAACAAAGAGTAAAACGTAGTAAACTAGTCTGAAACACTAGCACATTTTACCTTAGTTATTTTAGTTTATTTAACCGTGATGATAGAAAATTTTCATAGTGATGTGGCAGAAAGAAAATGTAAAACAGTTATGATAATGCTAAACAGGTTAAATAAACGTGTTATTATGACATTCGTCGAAATTTAAAATGAATCAACAAACATTATCTCCCCATATCGCAGAATGTGACCTTGTAGCTTTAAGTTTAAACTTGAAACTTCATCAGGCATATGTAATCGACCATGCCGAATTTTGTAATAATGTTTGTATTAGAAAACTAATTCAAAAACCTTCAGAAAATATGTGTTTGCCAAAAGCTACAGTGTACAGACTGTTTCCAAGTAAAACTGTAAAATTCATAACTCACTTCAAATGTATCAGAAAGAGTTGAACACATTATGAAGCGATTAGTTTTTTCAGTTAAACGTGATTGAGAGATTAGAAAACATTTTTGTTGAAAACTTCCTAGAAACTGCCTTGGAATGACATGACATTTGGTAACTATTTTCTTATGTATTTACTGTGAGAACGTTATAGACTGTCCTAAATACTGTACATCTTGAAGACAATAATGCTTTTGTTTCAATTGGATTTGGAGATGTATGGGATTTTTTAATTGATTGCAAATATTTATTGACTGATAAGCCTACAAATTATATCATATACTGACCACATCATATTTCGTGTTTAGAAGTCATAAGATATTGGTAACAACGTATCAGGGACTACACCGGTTCTGGTAAGCATTCGGATTAGAAAAACGTTTCTCTGAACTACTCAAACGAAGAAACTCAGATTTTCAAAAAATAGTATTCATAGCTCAAATATAGGTTTAGAAAATCTTTTTATTGTCTCTGAGAAAGAAAAATTCCACAACTTTGGAAAACTTCTCCATTCTCGAGTAAAAGAAAAAATATTTGAGTTGGATCAGATCAAGCTGATGAGTACGGATAAATGATGATGTTATGAATCAATCTCTTACTTATTGTTTTAGGTGCATTGGGTGATTTATTTATTGTTGGACATGGAGATATTGCTAATTGATCAGGAGAGGGACTACCATTTATATTTTTGTACATAGCTTTTAATTCTCTTTCGATGGATGATTTTTCACTATTCGTTAATATATGAAATCCAATAGGGTCAAAATACGCATGCACCTACAGAAAAAGAAATTGAAAAAGGTTAAGCGGGAGACAATAATTGACCACAGTCTTTATGTAAGCAAAACATTTTTTTTGATATATTCAAATATGAAAGAGATAATTAAAAACAACTTACTTTCGACAAATCATATTGTTCTTTATCATGATCAAAATATTTCAATATTTGTGCATGAAGTAGAGATTTCAAACTTTTCAATAAAATATCATCTCCATCGTCATTATCAAGAAATTCTTTCAACTCTCGTAACAAATAAAACGCTATACCGATTGTTGGATACTGTGAACCACTCATTATTTTCGTTGCATGATAAAATGGAGCAAGAACCGTTTCCAGTGTGCTTAATGTTGTCCAGTCATCACTAGACAATTCAAGATATTGCAATTTTGTCCGTTGGATTTTTGTTATGGGAATTGACCATTTATTTGTATACAATTTTGTAATAATTGGCCTAAATTTTATAAATGTTGTAAGCATACGATGACTACTGTTCCAACGGGTTTTCACATCCAGACGCAATGAACGTTTCAAATGTGGATAGTTTAATTTCTCATCATCAACATACGATGTAAGAATGGATGATTTTTTCACCATTTTTATAAATGGTCGAACTTTATCCATCAATTGTCCAATAAAAACTTTATCCAAGTCTGTATCAGTTTGTTCTTCCACTTCAACATCAGCTTCCCTACAAGCGGAAACTGTAGAATAATAACCTTGTGGGGAAGGGAGTAGAGACAATACACTGTGTGGGAAGTAATGAAGAGATTTCATCAATTCAGTGTCAAAAAGTAGGAGAATATTTTTTTGATCAAAAATTCCGATTCAAACAGTCTTAGCAACTAGATTTTCTTGACCCTGAAAAATAGGCCCATTGTGTCCTTAACCTATACTATTGTCACTCGTCTGTCTCCACTTGAGATAGGCAATTCAGAGAAATTGGCTCACTATTTTATATTATACACATAATTCTGAGATGAAAAAAGCAACAAAGCGGTTTTTTTGTTCCACGGTTCTCTGAAAATCCAAAATATTTGCTTTAAAATTTTTCTAGGTTTCATGTTAAGTCATTCGTAAAGCAGTCCAAAATAAATATCTTCTGAAACTTCCAGATCGTTATCATGACCCGAAGAGAAAGCCGGAAAGTCATGATAGTGAAAAAGAGCCTTAAAACCTTTTTCCAGAACTCATTGAGAAGCTTACTTAATTACAAACAAAAATTATGATTTTTTCGTGTGTTCAACGGTGATATAGGCAGCTCGACATCTTAATAAATTTGAGGTGCACTTCATTGAAAAATATTTCAGCACAAATGTTCAAATTCTGTACTTAAAGATCGCGTGATAGTGGAAAGGTATACTGTCGAATTAGTGATATTTTAATTGTTTAACTTGACGGTATTTATAGTGTAGAAATGTTCCCGGGTACAAAAAGAGTAAATGAATATTCCCACTAAAGTATAGCTGTACAAATCAACGTTTAATATAAAGTATATGCAGCTATTCTCTTTT